TCCACTAACATTACATTCTGTGACCCTGGCAGTCCAACCCTGTGCAAGGTTCCTTGATTAGATCCAGTAAACCCCTCCTGCATATACTGCCCTGACCCAGCCTTCCTCTCCACTAACACCACATTCTGAGAGCCTGGGATTTCACTCCTGTTCAAGGTGCCATGGAGGTAACCCAGCACTCCGCCCTGCACAGCAGATCCAGACACAACTCTGTTCTCCTGTACCAGGACCTTCTCAGAGCCTGAGCCTTCATTCATCAGCAGCACACCCTGCACATTAGGAGCAGCTGGCCTTTCTGAGAAGAGCACGGTGTTGTGGACCTGCGGCTCCACAATGTACCGAGTGGGTTGAACCGCTGGGGTGGTAGTGTAATAGACAGGCTGTTGGATGACATATGCAGGACTGGGAACAACGACATTTTCTCTGAGGTGCATGGCTGGGAGAGTGGTGGAAGAATACTGCTCGGTGACAATGTTTTTCTGGATCTGGGGCTGAGGAACTGGGCTGGGCTGAGGTCTCACAGCATCAGTTGTCACAGTGTTTTCTCTCTTGATCTCTGTGCGAGTTACAGCCACATCCTGGACAGTAGGCATGGCAGGAGGGACCAAAACCTCCGATTTCATTTCTTTACTCGTGCAGATCTCAGCAAGGGTCTTAAACTTGGGTCCCAGGTCGTTCAGGAACTCCAAATCATCATCTCCTTCAATGAAACTGCAGCATCCCACTGAACCCACAGGGGATTCTCGTCCTTCAAAGTCATAAATCAGTAAGCCATCTTTCTGAATCTGGTCTTCCTCGGCCACGCACATGGACTTCTGCAGCATACAAGGAGACAACAATAAGAGGTCAGTGAGCGATGATGGCTTCAGTATAAATATAATCACGTACAGACAAGGAAAAACATTCAAGTACCTATATGTGTATGATTCCTACTCAATGACAAATGAAAGGCAGAGAGCCCAGTTTCCTTCCCCATCGGGGTGGGGGATTGAACCTTTGAAGAGAGCATTTAAATCAGCCAATCGCACCCATCCTTAATGTCCCCATGAGATGGGAGGAAACTACAGTACCTACAGAAAACCCAAGAGAACCTCCTGGAGAACAAGTGAACTCCCCAGAGACAGGTGCCCAAGGTCCAGGTCTCCAGAGCTGTGAGGTGTGATAGCAGTGACAGCACCACTGTGTCACCCTGACATGTGCAGATTGCTGGATCGGGGCCAATTACAAAATCATGAACCCATTAATCTAGTCTACCCACAGACAGCAGTACCACATTGAGAGAAACTAGTCTTATAAGATGCTGGAGAACAGTGGATTCTGGAAGAGGAGCACAGCCTTCTGTGGAATGTGGTCCAGACAAGAATCTCTGTTGTACCTGCAGTCACTGCTTTCTCACAGCACCTGCTGTACCTAACACAGTGGCATCACAGGGAAGGAAGGAAAAAAAGACTACAACTTATCACTGCTTTTCTTTCTGCAGCACTAGGACTCTGCTATTACTTGAGTCTCACATTGATGTTCCTTTTGTACTGTGTATTAAGGTAACTTGTTTTATCCATGTTTTGGCAGTAAACATGACAAATGTCCCTATCAACACTCAGGTGGAGCCACAGGCTTGTTTGAAACAGACTGTGAAATACATTTCTTAACTAATAATGTTTAGGTACAAAAATACTGTATAGCCTGCTTAAATGCCCGGATTTCAGTAAATTCCGAACAATGTTGTACGTTTTTAATAATGGATGCTTTTTACTTCTCCCTGCCGTATGAATTAAAGTTAAGCTGCAAATATTAGCTGTAATTAATTAATGATCACCATAGCGTATGATTACTTCAAAGCCACTGTCTTACCTCACGCAGCGACGTTTTAAGAGCGAACGTTTATATCCGGCGTTTATTTTAAAAGCACCTTATGCGGTACTAATGCCATGCAAATGAGCTATAAGTCAAGCCAGTTACCTGCATATAGTACTCTTCCAAATAAGCGTCAGGGAGTGCAATTCCATCATGGTAACTTTCCCGGACTTCAGACCTGGAGTTGCGAATGCTCGAGTTCCGCTGGTAACTCATGTCTCCCAGAGCTCGGCCATCAGTCTCTGCATTGACGCCGAACCCGGCCGTCTTTCTAATTGTCCTCTGTCCATTGCCGAAGACACCTTCACCTGCAATCGCCGTCTGCGACCCTCTCGAACCTGCAGCAAGCATCCCCACGCCAGGCACGAACCCTCCTTGGTAAGCTTCCAGAGGCGGGACCGCCTGCAAGCGCGGAGAGGAAAAGTGAAAAACACAAAAATGACCTGCGCTGGATCGCTACGTGAAATCCCAACACACCATTGATGAAATATTGTTTAGCGCCATTTCCCGCAGAGCAAACTTTTCCGCATTCTGAATGAGGGGATTTACTGATTGAGGTCATCAGGATCCGCCCCCTCTCTAATTAAAACACACACACACATTAGTACTGGTAAATGAGTGACAACTTCTCATTGCTTCTTCGGTTCTTACTTTTCCAAGCTCCGCTACAATTGAAATTCTCTCACTGTGGGCATAATATTTCCTTCGGTTTATAGACAGTATTTGAAAACATAATTCAGGACTTGAGAAACGTATTTCAATCGGTTTTGTTTTAGTTGTTAACAATTTCAAATAGTTTGTAGCATGATTCGAAGTATCCTGTCTTTCAAAAGAAATTCAAAAGGAAATATGTTGAAAATATACCTATATAATATAATATATATATATATTAAATCTGCACGTCATGGCTGATAATAACTTTGAAGCTTAAGATAGCTCAGCTTACCTTGTCTTCGCCTTGTCCTTCTGTGTGATATGAAATCAAATGCTCTTTGGTGTCAAAAGGCATGTCAAGAAAAGCCCCTCCTTTTCCTCCAACCCCAAGCCCGCCACACGAGCAGAATACCAGCAGCAGAGGCACCACTGTTGAGAAGAAGAAGCCATTCCTTAATATGTGTGGCCATACAATCGTCAATTGTACTGAAAAAGCGCAAGTCTGAATGACACCTAAAAGAAACTAAACCTCCGAAGAGAACCCGCAAGCACGTTTTCAGCCGTTGCTTAAAAATCTTACAACATCCAAGTAGGGAGTATTCCAGGCTCTCATATTTGACTTCAATAACTCGAAGTACTTCTGCCCAGCTAATTCAGCAGGGTGAATTCCCCTCATACAGACAAGTTGAAAAATATCTTAAACACTACACAGTCAACCCAATGTGTGTCTTCAGACACAACGGTTCAACACGAGCCAGAGGACACGAGTGGAAACTACATGGAACTGTATTTGCCACATACATGAGCAAGAAGCACTTTTTACACAAAGGGTAGTGGAGAGGTCTTGAACACACTGTTCTACCCAGCCGTGGTGTTGATGCTGAAACCCTGGCTTCTTTCAAGAAACAGCTGGAGGAGCAGCGCCTCAGATCAGTGAGCTATATGGTTTTGATGAGCCTCATGGCTTCCTCTGGCTGGTAAACACCCTAATATTCTAATGGGTTTTGTGTGATTTCCCACACTGGTGGCTGTACAAAAAATGATTAAAATAGGCCTGTTTCCATGATCGTTTGAGCTGTATGATGAGACAGCTTTGTGCCAAAATGTAGTGGGTGTGGTAACAAAAGAGACTGAGTAATTCACCTATTGGCCATTGTAAGTAACAAAGGAAAGGTATAAAAGCAGGAAGTACAAAAGCCAGCTATATAGAGTAAGTGTCTGTACTCAGTAGTACTTTACTTTAGTGCATTTACTATTAGAGAATAGCCATATTGAACTGTAATTAAATATGAATGATTTCGAATAGTAGATGCACTATTTAATGCAAGTGTAAATGCACTATTTAATGTAATACTAATGAAATTGAACTGTAATTGTACTGTGAGTTTGTTTATTGCACATTCTTTGTGGTGACAAACATTTCTGCATTATTATCTTATTATCATTTTTATCTTATTATTAATTAGATATTTAACTCTACTGCATTGTTATATAGGCATGCAGAAATATATAAATGGCTGAAGAAAGTCACATGAGACTGGTTAAACTAATGCATAGTGCAGTTATTAAGTTTCTGATGAGTTCTGTTCAAATCAGGAAAGTGTGTCCAAATCAGTTGGATACCTGTAAAAAACAAACTTTCTTAGCTTAGCGCACTCAGCCCTATTTCCACCTCTTTCATGCTGTTTTGATTTATTGTGTGTAAAGGCTGAGCAGTTTGTGCAATACAAACTGAGGTAACATCTCCAGATCTGACGCATCTTAGAGAACTGAACAGCTGCATTGTGGATGCAGTAGTTTTCTCTAGTAATTTCGCAGATGGGAACATTTGATACTGCCAATCATACTACTAATGAAGATTTTCTAAATTGTCAAGCTATGCCATCTGATACAAAATGGTCAATGCGGTGATGAAGTAATGGACATACAAACTCTGCCACACAATGGAGCAATCGCCCTCTTGAGAGGTTCTGTGGAGAATGTCATCGCAATGGATGTCACTGCACAAAGCTATGTTCTGTATTTTCAAGGATGTCCTGAGCTGTATAGCTCTCTTTTACAGTGCCTGAATGATATGAATTTATGATTCAGGGCACTGGCTCTCCAGAATTCATGGGACCGGCTTGAAGGAGTTAGGATGAGTAGTGAAACACAGGTATGGAAACTTTGTTGGCATGTACTTACACAACAGCATCAGAAGTCCAAGAAGCAGCAGACCAATGCCTGCAGGACCAAATTCAGCACCAGTAGTTTTTCTTACACTTGCACAGTTGTCCTCATTATTTTTACAAGTGCAGACGTCAACTTTGACAACCTGCTTATCAGGACAGGATAGTCCTTGTTGGTCTTTCACCTCCACAGCGACTTCATATGGGCCAGGCCACAGGTTTTCCTGGGCTCGCAGGATTGCAGTGGTGTCTTAAAAGAGAGAAATATACAGATACTCCATCGTGCACGAGGACAACAATAAATTCTGAATTTTTTCCTTATGATTTTTATTTACTAGTTTGATTGCAAAAAAACTAAAAAAAAAACAGTTGACTGAATATTACAGGAAGCACATGCCCAAGGTTATCAAGGCCGAAAGAAACAAAAATTAACGGAGTATAAATAATTGAGCGTTACGTATTTAGATGGCTGTCAATAGTTTTCACTGATTAAATTTATATATATACAGTAGTAATTCTACACTGTTTACATTTGACAGAAAATGTACACTTGTATTAAGTGTATAAAAACAACTATGGGATGGAGCTTATAGCCCTGATTCCAAGAAACTGGAAATGCCTCTGACGGACTCCACAGAGGTCATTTAAGATGTACTGGTCACAGCAAAGACTGCTGGATGGCATCCACGGTGTTGTGTAGCACGTTGTAAAATGTAACACAACTGACCACAAGGACATCAGAATTCATGAATCTCTAAATATGTCATGGTCAACACCTCTGTGTTCCCTTTCCTCACCATGGGTAGATGGCCTCTCATTCGTAACCGTTCATTACTAGAAAAGTCTACTTCCACAACACCATGTTACAGTATTTCTACAGTATTGTTTAAAAGTATTCAAATCTATATTTAGCACAGCTAATTCACTAGAAGTACCATTTCTAGGATTAATTAAAATAGAAGAAAGTATATCATCAAACAACAGTCTCTACACTTTAAATTGATGAGTGAGGTTGCTGGAGTTGGTATGAATAATACCTAGAGTCACAAATACAATAATTCTCTTGATTGTGTAAGCACAGAACGCACACGCTTAAAAAAAGTTGAAATTACTCTCAGAACCAGTCCTTACCATTCAGTTTTTCAACTCTCCACGTGCCCTTGGTACCTTCAGGAATGATTTTGAAATCAAAGGGAGGCCCATTGGGATCAGCATCTCCATCCTCTGCTGTGACAAACACAGCTTTGCTCTTGGTACACAGAACCTGGGAGGTACTGGTCAGAACTGGACAGTGGTCATTGTGGTCCTCCACCTGGAGAGCAATCGTACCGGTGGCGGTCTTGGAAGGCATATCTGGAAAACACATTGGTTGAAATATTTTTAAACAAGTGAAGATGTATCACTTGTTACAATTGAGCGGCCATCTGCAATGGAAAGGTCAGTTTTATGACAATAAAGACAATCTAATTTTAACCATTCAAAGATGTTCATGGGGGATTTTCTCCTACGTAGTAAATGGAGAAAGTGGAGCAAGAACATTGAGTGACAGACTGACTAGAGCCCAGCTGTTGTGTTGAAAAGCTACTTCATTATGAGAAATGCACAACAACAGCACTACATCTATTCCCTGTTAAGCTACTGTGAAGTAGCAATTCATGAGGCTGACCTAGAGAAATGACTTAATGGGCACAGCACTCGAGCAGATACAACGATGGATTTACTAACATCACATTTCAAAACACAGAATACTGTTTTTCTGTGCCTTTTAGCAATTGATTTTTACTTACCATCAGTCATAACCAATATTTTTGCGTAGTATGTGCCGTTAGTTAAGTGTTTGGACTCCCGGTCTGGCAGCTTGTTCAGTTTGATCTCTGCCGTCTTTTCATCAATTGACAACCAGTTGTCAGGATCATATGCCTTTGCATATCTGCAATAACCCAGAAAACACAGTGATGATGAATGCCACCTATGCACATGAACAAATGAAGTGAATTTCTGCATCACTAATAGTGTAGGTCTGTTAGAGGTGATAGTAGCGAGTCATTCATTTAACCCTGAGTACTGCACTTCACCTCATGTCACACACAAACGTTTGATCACACTGGCTTTTCTCTCAGCAGTGTCCAGTGTTCTCATCAGGCTCTTTTAATTGGCCTATTATCGATTTTTCTGAATGCGTTTATTGCTGCCTTTCCTACATTATGTCAAAATCGCCTTTATAGAGAGACTTGCATTTCCTTTTCAATTTGAAAATCGACTTTCACATATAACATTAGTTTATTTGCAGAGTTTCTTTATCAGTGGGGTTTTTAGAAGTGTACAGTGGTTCTCACAATTTTATTATCAAGTATGATATAATTGGAGCTTAAAGAAATATATAATGAATGATCAATTTGTCAAATGGGAGGACATCATTTAAACCATCTAGGCAGTTTGGGAGTAAGTAAATTTATGTTTCAACGATATTTTTAAATGATTATATTTAAGTACATGGAAATACAAATGCAAACTGGGAGGGTTGAATGCCCTCAAAAAACTTGTGGCTTGTAAAGGATCAATAACAGAAAAACATCAGTGTTAACCATGGAAAAGTTTAGAATCTACAGTACACATAGAACTCTCCTGTGTAATATTAAAAGCTCAATGCATAAAATTACCAAAGTGTGCACATGACTGAAGAATATCACTATATTCTATCCAACATTTCAGATACACTTTAATAGTGCAGAATGGATAATAAAATAATTTATTCTTGTAGTTTCTAATTTCTCTCATGCCAAAGCATATCTTTTTATGATGTGGCCAAATTCTAAAGCAGACACTGAAATCATCAGATGGCATGCAAGCAAAGATAATTCCACCTGAATGGTTACATCATTTTCTGTATCGTTAGCTGTCACACAGTTCATAACAAAGTACATCTGATTTTCAGCTATAGATGTAAAGATCTGTACATACTGTACATCTGAATGCCCAGAAGTTCAAAACACAAAAATCAAAACTGAGTTCACAAACAAAAAACTGACACAACACAAACAAAAATCAGAGCACAAACCAAAGAAAAGGACACAACACAAACAAAAATGCGAGCACACAAAAAAGATTGCACAAAAAACCTACACAACATGAACACAAATGGGTACACAAAGATGTGTTCAAAACAGAAATAGGTTCTCACAACGGACATGTCATCTGTTGTAAGGTGACAGGGCAGCACTGAGTGGAGCGCACATGTTGAGTTTTTGTGAATTTTCGTGAAAAAAACACCACAACAGTTGGATGTTCTGTCTGTGTCATGGAGGACAGCTTGGTTCAGGACAATACAGGCAGGGGTCAAAATGTCCTGAAACTGTCTGGATTTTGCTCATGACAAATGTTTTAGCACTTTCAATTTCACAATCATCCAAGTGAAACCTGGTAAATCAGTGAAAACTCACCTGACTCTCTCAGCAGGCTTCCCAGTGTCCCCATTGATGGCTGGATATTTTGCAATCACATTGCTGATGTTGAGGGTTTTTTTCCCCTCAGAAACAGAGATCGCCTTTACCTTTGGACTAAACCTGGGACCTTCAGGCTGGTTCTTGACTTGAATTTTAATAGGATAGGTCTTCCCTGACCCAAATCCCGATCCGGAGCCCGATCCAGAGCCCGATCCGGAGCCCGATCCGGAGCCTGATCCAGAGCCTGATCCAGAGCCCGATCCAGAGCCCGATCCAGAGCCAAATCCTACTGCACCTGCACCAGAATACTCTGCCTTGTTTCTGACAGCCACAGCAAGGTTGAGGTTCTGCATCGTTTCGTAATCTAGTTCCTTTAAAGGCAGAAGAAAGAAATCACGATGGAGACCCTGATTCCCTTCTATAGGATACGCACCAGCTGTAGTAGTCCCATATGCTGTACAAGAAGGCGGCAACATATCCTTTATATGTTCAACATCTATTGTAGCAAAGTTTAAAGAGCAAATATCAAAATATACCCGTATATGTATAATAATAAGAAACACAATGTTTCGGCTGTGGAAAATACTAAAGGCTGGTATTTAACATGCAATTACATGAGACGCAGCTATCAATTTGCAATATATACCTTATTCAGCATTAAGACGCCTTCATTAGTGTGAGAGTCCTTCACGATACTGAAGTAGCCTGCTTCATTTCCTGACACAATGTCAAACTCTGTCTCCCAGTTGTCTGTAAATTCGAGATCTTTATCCAAGGCCTTCAGTCTCATGACTTCAACATTAGCTGTGTTTTCTTCCACACTGGCAGAATACTGAGAGAAAAAATCAAAAGAGCAGTAGAATTAATTCAAAACGTCTTTTTCACATGTATTTGTTGTTGTTGTTTTATTTTAGCATAAATACAAAAAAGCAAATCCATTCAGGCCACTCATGTAGGATATAATGATGATTCATTTTCATTGCCTGCAAGTTAATTTGAGAAATAAATATATAATTTTATTAATGCTAGTCATTTATAAATCTAATCATGGCAGCCTGGCAAATTATCATATGCTTTTAAAATAAAATGATAAATTATAACTCTGTGATTATAAATTAATAGTTATTGATAATGAGCATAAATTAATAAATATTAAAAATGAATATACAGCAAATAAATTGGTTGTTAGCAGTATAGGCGAAATATTCTGAAAGTCTTCTTTTCATTTTCCAAGATACAGAACACAGAAATAAACAATTAAAGAATAGTTTCTGCATTTTTCAAAAGGTAGATTGAATCTTTAGAACTCAGTAATCTACACATTAGCATGTCCAGAAAAGTGGAAAGAATTATTGGAAATATACATGTATCATATGTAAATATCTGTGAAATATACAGAACAAAATAAAATTGACATTTAATCACAAATATGAAACTGAAAATGTTCTTACTTCATCTTTCTCCAGTGTAGGAACATTATCATTGACATCTAAGACTTGAATCTTAACTGTCCCCTGACCGACATTGCCAGTGATCTTTCCATTCAAATCTCTGCCTTGTACAACTAAAGTGTACGTGTCTACTGTCTGCAAAAAAGAAACAAAACTTCAGTCAAGAGAAAACATACATCAGCACTGGTATACATTATGTACAAATACTAAAATGCGCTCTCACATTTATATTTAAAGGGCACTTTTATATGAAGCTGGCAAACTATAATTGTAGTCAACTACATTGTTTTAATAGTATATAATGAAATCAAGTATATAGAACTCAAAGACTGAATGAATCTGCGTAGCCATTTCCAATTGAAACCACCTGTCATAGGGTATTAGTACTGTTATTAGGATAATCTCTTCATGCTAGTCATTTTGAAAGAATGATTTCAGAAAGTACGCTGAATTGCACATCACTTGAACAATAAAAAACAACAAAAAACACTTACTTCCCTGTCAAGGGTATTTGTTTTAGCGTAAACCATGCCTGTGTCTTCGTCTATATAAAACATCTGTGGCTCTGGTGGGGACTGGCTCACGATGCTGTATTTAATTTTAGCGTGGTCTGTAGCAGGGTCGTCATCATCTGTAGCAATTACTTGCATGACAAAGGTGCCTAGAATATAAGATAATAAGAAATCTTATAAATCAAACCTTTTTGTAATGTCAATATTCCATATAAACAAATCATATTAACAACAGAAAAGTTGCACTATCACAATGACCACTATTCCTTTCAGTAGCCATTTTCAGTTGCTTCTTTTACTACTGCATGAATAACTAATCAATTCTGGATTTGTAAAATATTAATCTGGAAAATGTTCTACCACCAAAGGAAGTTTAAATATATCTTCAACACAGAATAAATGAAGGGTGTGTTATGTATGGGACATGGGTTTGACTTTAAAAGCCTCCGTTTTTGAGAATATAGACAAAAAATAGGTGAATTAGTCAAACAGCTTGTGAATGTAGAGCAACAGATTTTCTGTAATATTAAATAGCTATTAGTCTTGCACTGTTTTCCTCACTGCTTTCCATCGAAACAGTCTTTGTCTGTGCTTCTTAATATCTTACCTATCTAAAGGTAATGGCGTGGTGTGGAGATTGAGGCTTGTAGTGCTCACAATGGACTGGGCAGTGGTCTGAGTAACATGGAATGCTCTATGTACAGTATGTGTTTTTTTTTTTTAATTGTGTTCGAATCATTTTGAATATCCATTAAATATTTGGCCTCGCGGTCAGTCTCATGAACACTTGATCATTCATGACACTGACCATGATGCACCTGAGTGATTTTAACTGCTGTGGAGCACAGAAGCAATTCATCAGTGAGAGAGTTGATTGAGCACATGCGATAAGGTGAGTCGACCTTCTGCATATTAAGTAATGAAAATCAAGAAGGAAAAACATAGAAAGGAACCAATATGCTACATTTATCCAGACAACAGCAGCAGGTTGGATTCTGGCCTAAGCCAGCGCACTGTCACTTGCTGGCCATTTGTCATGTATTAATGCTGTCCCTGTTCACAGTCAGTCAATTTCTAACCAGACCTAAGAGCCAAAAGCAGTTTGTAAAACACATGTCATTTTGGACATCACGAGTTATGACACCTCAAGAAGACTGACTGCCTGGTATGACACTTGGGCCAAGAATGGTCTGGTCACTACAAGAATCAACATATAGGAATACTGCACAACACTACTACTACTAATAATAATAATTGCTTACACTTACAGTAAGTACATAGCGCTTTTCTAGACACTCCACTCAAAGTGCTTTACAGGTAAAGGGGACTCCCCTCCACCACCACCAGTGTGCAGCCCCACCTGGATGATGTGACGGCAGCCATAGTGCGCCAGTACTCTCACCACACACCAGGGGGATTATTAGGAGGCCATGATTGGTAAGGGCCAATGGGACATTTGGCCAGGATGCCGGGGTTACACCCCTACTCTTTTCGAGAAACACACTGGGATTTTTAATGACCACAGAGAGTCAGGACCTCGGTTTTACATCTCATCTGCAGCACGGCGCCTCTTTAGAGTATAGTGCCCCTGCCGCTATGCTGGGGCATTAGGACCCACATAGACCACAGGGTGAGCGCCCCCTGCTGGCCCCGCTAACATCTCTTCCAGCAGCAACCTTAGTTTTTCCCAGGAGGTCTCCCATCCAGGTACGGACCAGGCTCACACCTACTGAGCTTTAGTGGGCTGCCAGTTGTGAGTTGCAGGGTGATATGGCTGCTCAACTGAGACAGCATTTGCTGCCCTTCCTGCAGGCTCATCCTGATTTCACAAGATTTCAACAGGATGTCACGTCTGTTTCTATCTCACCGGAGCAGTCCTACCAAAGTGATAGCACTCAGCTAGTTGGGTGATATCGGGGAACCCTGGTGATATTGGTGGAATTAGTGGGATCAATTTGCACTCAGAGTGAGCTCCTTTACTGATCTTGGAAACCCTGTGGGTATTTTTTACATCATTGTGCATCATCTTTCTGCAGCATATTGAAAGAATCTCTTCAGCACTTTTAACACACACACTGACAACAGAAACAAGTTTGTAGTGAACAGAGTGCTGAAGACTAAGTTTAACAGTCAACAGACTGTTATAGTGTAAGAAACTAGGCAGTGCTTGGAATTTAGAATACTACTTTTGAAGGAAAAACAGAAAAAGAATTGCCTGCTTTGCTGAGTTCTTCAACTTTTCCCATCTGATTCTCTTTAAACACAGGGAAACAATCATTTTTGTCTTCAACTGCAATGCGGAGTTCAATATCCGTCTCCACAATATTGCCGAACGCATCCATTGCAACACCTGTAAGCTGTAACAGAGAAGAATCTGTGATTTCAATATATTCCAAATCTGTGCAATAGCTATCGCAAAGAAGAATGTGTGCACATTGAGGGTAATAATTGACGTACCATGAGCTGATCAACTGTAAAAAAACATACTTACATTGTAAAAAGCAATGTCCTCTCTATCCAGGATGTCTGTGACTCTAATATTGCCAGTGTTCCTATCAACAACAAATATGTGAAATGGTTCTTGATCAGCTCCTTTTCCTCTTAGTTCGTAGAACACTTTTTTTACAGACTCATGGTCAGAACGAATCTAAAAAGAAAAAAAAGTGAAAATAGTCAATGACATAGAAAAAATGACAATATTCCACATTATCAATTATATTAGCGGTGTGAGAGCACAGCCCCACTAGGGACTACATTCCCCAGATTCCTCTGGAGCATGAGCTGCTGCTCTATCACCTGTCCAGATGCAGGAAGGTAATTGGTCAGGTGACTCTTTAAAAACCAGGAAGTGGAAGCTTCCTGGGTCAGTCGGGGGTTTGGGGGGTTTGGGGGTTTGGGGGGGTTGAACCCCTATGTGCACCACTTACCAGAGCAGAATAACTGACCAAGGACTGAAGGAACTCTGAGCTTTGGGGCTTTTGGGAAGTTTTTGGGAAGAGTCTTGAAGGGAGGGATTTGTTATTTGGGGAAATTTGAGTCTGGTAAGCAGTGTTGCTGCTCAGTCATGAAACTGAAGGAACTTCAGGAAGATGTTTAGTTAGAAGCTTGAAGAAAAGCTAAGGCTTCTGTTTTGGTTTGGCTGTGCTGTTTTGAATTCCCTGCACTACTGAGAGAATGGCACTAGGATATTTTTTAACCTTACAGCTGTGTTGTTGTGTGTTTGTTGTCCTGGGCCTGCAGGTGTGTCATAGAGTAAGTGTACAGTAATTGGAAGCCCAAGACAGAATGACAAGGTTGGAGATAACTACCATGAGCCTAATCAGTGTGCTTGATTGTGTATTTAAAGAGTGGGCAGCCAGATAACCACACACATGGTTAGCATGAGCACTCAAGAAATAGCTGGATGAAATGTAACTACTAAATGAACTTGATGGCTTGAATGGCCTCTTCTCACTGTCATTTTTATTTTATATTATATTTATTGTAGATTTTATCATAGGACATGCATGAATGTCTAAGGAATGTGATATTCCTGTGATTTATATTTAAATGTTGCTGTCACTTTATTAGGAAACTCCCATTTTTAACTTCCTACAGTACGTTACTGTATACTGGCGTGTTTTGCGTTGCTGCTGTTTGACTTTGGAGATCCTTAGATAGAAACTTAGAGGGAAGCACTACTGAAGTCGCTGATGGTGAGAAACAGCCCCATAACATACTACCAACACCATGTTTGACAGTAGGGATAGTGCTGACTGGGTGATGTTGCTGTTCTGCCCATCCAGCAAGCTAACAGACGTTGATCACACCTCAATGCACCTGACTGTCAGCTGGTTGCCGTGGCTACCTAATCAGACGGGAAGCTTGATTCACCTGTGTGCAGTTTACTGTCTTGTTTGTCTCAGGTGAATCGGGTTATTTAAGGTTTGCCCTGTCAATGCTCTGGGCTCTGTTGCAGTTTCGACTCGCAAATCCCTAGATCATGTGTTCCCTAGCTTGGGCTTTGCTTGGATAAATGTCCTGACTTGTCTTGAGCTCATTCCTGGATCGCTCCATGTCTGTTACACTTGTTTACTCGGCTTCATCCAGACCTGGTCTTCTGGATTTTCCTTATATTCTTGCTTTTCTAGACCTCAGCCCTGGACTCTGTTTTGCCTGTTTCCCATGTTTAGCCTGCCTGTGTTCCTCCGCTTTCACCTGGGGTCTTTTGATGGATGGACATAAAACATGTAAACGCATATATTCGTATGACTGCCTTAAATTGGGGAACTTCATCACTTCTGTAAACATAAGTACAGTGTGTGGGGGGAAAAACTGATTGCTGTTTTCCTTAAAAGAAGCTTGGGAATCAATGACACAACTTGCAGTAAAGTAAAGTTGGAAAGATGTCTGCGTCTGAGAATGAGTATGAACAACTACTCAGGGACAAGTAAAAGGTTTATTTCATTCTGAAAAGAGAAGAAAGGAAACAACGTTTTGGCTGTGGATCCTTTTGGAGGTTTCGGCAATAATCACACCTGAAAAAGGCTCCACAGCTGAAACGTTTCCTTTCTTGTCTTTTCAACAGGGAATAAACCTATTACTTGTTTTCCTTCACAGCCTATGCATGCTGACGCAGCTCCCTACTTGAACTACTTCAACTACTCAGGGATGTGCTATGAGAGGAAATTTATGAGAAGGAACAATGTGATATCCCAAGCTTTGGCATGAAAAAAACAAGCAAGTGAGAGATTGAGGCATTTGGAACTGATCCTGTGGAATGAGAATCCCTGGCAAGCGAACTGAAACAAGTGCTGTCTTGTTTGCTGTTCTTGTTGGATTCTACCAGGGAGTCAAAGTCTGTGCCAGGAATAGGCTCTAATTGCTCGAAGAGGAAAGAGTATGGAGGCAGCACGCAGTTCTCACAGTGTGAAATATACACTTATAATTACAGCTGAAAATCATGCAAATCTCAGTGGGTTGTTCAGTTGAGAGACAATGCAAACCTTCTGTGCTATAGATGGTAGTCTCCACCACCTCTCGTAAATGAAAGGATGGCAGAGGTCTGTTACTGAAAAAGTTTAACGATGAAAATGAGACAAGTTTTAAATTGCTTTCCTACTTCTACATCTATGAGATCTTCTTTTTAATGTATTTTTTTAAGGATCCGCAGACCCCAACCTATTTATCTGAAGTAAAAACTTTGTTGTATGTATTTGCAGTACAGTACTTGCACAAGCTGTCTTGTTGTGAATTTTCAAAATGAAAACAACTTACTTTGGCAATATATTCCTTCTTTGTGTAGTCCTCGTTCTCTGGTACTTTTACTGGGGGAATAATCCACTCTCTTTTTTGCCTCATTAGTTGCACATTTTCCCTCGCTTCCACTTGTTTTTGGAAAACCTTTAAATATAAAACACAATACATAACTTGAATATGTATTTCATCTCGATCACATACCAGTCAGATCAGGTTCTGGAAAAGCGTCAGTAGTGGATTGAATAGTCATGTATCACACATAAGTAATATGCTCATTTTCTAAAGCATGTAGACACCCTCTGCTAGTTGACCAAATAAAGGTATTTAATGATCACGTTTATCATTTTACAGACTGATGTGTGCTCTTATTCATCCTTCCATTTTCTAGCCACACTTCTTCCAGTTCGGAGTCGCAGAGCTGGAGCCTATCCCAGCAAGCATCAGGCACAGGGCAGGACACACCCTGGACAGGAGGCCAGTCAATTGCAGGGCACACACCACAGCGAGTTTTCCCAGAAGCCAATTAACCTACCAGTATGTCTGTGGACTGTGGGAGGTAACCCACGTGAACATGGAGAGAACATACAAACGGAACCCAGGCCCCAGAGCTGAGCAGCAGCAGTGCTACCCACTGCACCACCCGAACGTATTGAGACAAGAAAATAATATTGTCAATGGTTTCAATCATCTACTGCTTACGATGGATGGATGCCTTTTCTTATAGGGCATTATTAATGGCATTTCACTAGCTCTTCAAAAGCTTGTTTTCTTCTGTACAGTATTAATTTATATTGATTTACCAACAGTTGTAAAAGTTTCACTTCTATCGGGTTTTTTTCAGGGTTTTTTCTGCTAGGCAAAATATTTGGAGCATATAATATCCAACATATTAAGAACACAAATGTGTTATAGTTAATAATAATCTGTGTTCTAGAAGGTGCCTTTTAGGGAAAACAAAAACTCAAAACATGGTATAATAAAAAATATACTAACCAAAGAATGAAAATATATCAATATACAATATTGTATAAGGTGAGATTTGGAAATCAACTACGGTCAATTACTCTTTGATTGTATAACAATATAGTCAACTGCTCTAACAATTCAGAGATATCGCAAAGGAACATGCATTAGTCAACCGTTGCCATTATCGCCAAAAGAAAACCATGTTTTGTTTGCCGCATGTATGAACGTCCTGTGTCAGAGCAACACAATCGACAGTAATACATCTGGGGGAATCAATGTCCATTGTACGTAACAAGAAGGTGGCAACACTCCACAGCCATAAGAAGCTGCTAGGTTTGATCAACGGTTATGTTCGTAGATCAAAACAAAGTGTACCATTTAGAAAAATGCCATCCAGGTACAGTAGTTCTCCTGCCTTGCACCCGGTAATACAGTAACTTTTGCAAACATAATGTATTCACTTTTAATTTACAGTACAGTTGTTCAATAATAGGAGAGCTTGCTGTTGCATTGGCTATGATTCCGGTTACTGCCACACAGCTCTGCGGTTGTGCTCCTTGTGTCTGCACAGAATGTCTTCAGGTGCTCCACTTTCCTTCCCCTCCATCCTCTTTCCTTCTCTTTGAATCTGCTTGAACCCCGTCATTCAAGAACCTCCCAGATCCAAACCACACGAACCCCCCGACACAGTTCCAATAAAGTAAAAGGCTGATTTTCTATCCAGGATGATTTCAAGCTCATCAAATTGCACTGAGCTGTACAGTATGTGTGTGTATAAATATATAGAATATAAAATAATTTTAACAAATTCATAGTTATTCTAAAAAAAATGACTCAATCTTTTTTGGGTAGCAGGTAGACTAACATTTTATTGAAGAGAATAGACATAGGTAAATTCATATTATAATAACTAACATTTGACGTCAACATGATTAGTTGACATGGGGTCTCCTGGGAATTCTGGACACTACTAGAAGCATGCAAGCTGTGAATTTTGCAATGCATGCCTTGCACACGGTTGTAGATTCTGTCCCACTTCTCTTAGAGCTAGCCATAAATAGCGAATCGTGAATGACGGTTATCCGAGAAGAACAATAGTTTGAAAATGTGCAAAAAACATCATAAGAGGGACGAAAGCTACTAAAAATGCCTCCATTCTCAAGGCAATTCAAGCCTTCACTCATATAGACTTTGTGAAGGGCTGCTTGTTAACGGCATGTAGAAAACTCTACGTACTGTATATGCTACTGATCTAAAAAAATCAGTTTGAATCATATGCTGGTACAGGGAAGTGTATCAGACTGGGTTAAGGTCATCATATGTGAGTGGAAAGATGTGTCAGAATTGATTGTGTTTGTCCTTGGCAACAGATGAAATGGTGAATACGTCTGTGGTTTATTAAGAACTAGTGGGGCTGGCATCACCTGAAGTGTGAACCACAGACTTGGACCTGTTTAACTGTCTCTGGCAGTGAAATATTCTTCGACTTGGATTTCAATGAGAAAACAACAGCCCTGTCATGAAGACAGCGTAATGGAACAATTATCTCTGACAACCCAAACTCATAAGAAAGAGACCAGTCAGCCCATCTCACCTGACAAGCAGGCAGTAGCTCATGGAGCTCACTCACGCAGTACTGCGGTATTTTCACTTGAGAGAAGTCTGTCTGGGGAGTCTGTGATGTATTGACTGCGGTGGATACCAGGGAGGGGAGGGAGGTCCTGTTTGTCATCCTTGTGAACGGCATTGTCTTTCCTTAATTGTTTTGTTTTTGTGAGAACATGCTTAATAAATATAGATTTGAAAAAATCGGTATGGGGAAAGATCTTGATGTCTGCCTTCCGAAGAAGAAGCGACTTGTGTCTGATTGTGCCGAACAAATCGTACGATGACATGCCAAACAGGTTGATATACTGTACCTGCAGTGAGGTGAGCTCTCTTCCTTTACTTGCTTCGTGCAGGCATTTTCCAATCGCAGCTGTGACTTGGGTCTCAGTTATGTATTGTCAAGGTGCTGGGAAGCTCGAAGACTAATTCAAGCAGCAGTACTCACACTTTCAATCAGATGCTAAAACAAACTGAGGTTCTTGGCTTACTTTTTCCTATTTTCTCCCCAGAAACAGTGAAATCACTGCTGTAGGACTCCAGTGGAAGCAGTGACTTAATTTGAACAAAAAGGCCATCTTTCTTTCTACCTATGCATTGATTCTGAAACTTAAGATGTAACGAGGAGCCCTGCGGCTTACTAAGCTTTCAACGGTGTATTCATTTGCAAGTGCGTCTGTTCTCTGTAGAATATTTGCAAAGGAGAACACAGTAATAGTTTTTCACATGATATCGTTGAATCTGTCACACATTTGGCAAAGCAGAAAATGAAGCCTGCCCTAATGAAATTGGTATTCCATAAGCAGTATATAATTTCTCAATAATCTTATACAGCATCCTTTGGTAAATAGGACATTTATTTTGGTATTGTTTCCAAATCCAGTCCTGAGTTCATGCTGAGAACAGGTTTTTTTTCTATTCCTTTGCAAAAGTGTTCAGAGAAAATCACTGTTGGCTGGTATTTTCCTTCCACTACATTAGGTCCCAAAACAAGATTGCTTTGAAGCCTAAATCAAAAAAACTTTTTAAAAGTTTAAAGACTAAGAGGGGACCTGATACAAGTATCCACATTTCTCAAAGGCATTGACAAAGTCAGTCCAGCGGACATCTTTTGTATTAACAGGGAAAATTGAACCAGAGTGCGCAAGTTGAAACAATGTGGAATGATGTTTAAAACCAAGAACTGAAGTTACTTATTAACACAAAGGGTGGTGGGAGTGTGGAACAAGCCATGTTACAGAAAGTGGTACCCTGGTTTCTGTCAAGAAATGGCTGGATGAGATCACTACCAAGCGGGCTAGACAAGATGAATGATCCCTTCTTATATTATTCTTACACTTGTATGTTTAAATCAATACTGTGACAGCTGGATAATAATAATAATCGCTTACACTTATATAGCGCTTTTCTGGACACTCAATTCAAAGTGCTTTACAGGTAATACATTAATCATAAAACCCTGCATTTGCAGAAAAAAACATTAACCTTTGTGTAATATACATGTGTTTTGTATTTTAATATATTAAAATGGCACTCTCTGGTTGCGTTATTTAAAAAAACAACAAAACCTACTATGTTCGAGACCCTCAGAATAATTTGGATTATCAGTCTGGCCCTTTCGGCAAAGAAAATCTGCACCACTAAGGTTATCATAGTGTGACAGGGAGGTGAAGAAAGTTGTATATTTAATGTATAATCACCTCCAGAACACTTAACAGGGCTAACAGGGTATTCTGATGTCCTGCTCCTATGAAAGACTACTTTTCAATCTTGGATTTCAAATGACACTCCTGATATGGAGGTTCAGACCCTGAAATTAAATATTCACCTCGGTCATTTGTTCTGTATCTGTTATCTGTAACACTGTATACTGCTTCATTAAATTACAGACCTTTTGTGTTGTTAAGTTTCCCATCTCTCAATGTCTCAATGCAAAATACATTTACTCTATAGGCGACGTGTGTGTAACCCCACTTGCAACCAACTGGCAAAATATATCACACATGCACTGTAGTGTACATTGTTATGTTATTTTTTTATAAGAGATTTAAAGAAACCTTTGTTCAGACTTGGCTGTTCCCGGTATTTTTCTCTGAGCAAGTCATTGCTCGTTGTGCAGGTTTTGGTAGATTTGGGTGTTACACCCTCACGCCCATTAATTAAGGAGCTATCCAAGATTAAAGTGCTCCCGCTGAAAAATAAACGTGTTTATTTTCCACCGATATACAATCACATAAACTGCAGTTGTATGTGCTTCTGTGGTCTAACTCTACAGGTACTTAGTCTGGAAATAAACTCTATCAAGGCAATCGTTTCCCAGAGCAAAGGGGACATCGGAGTTTCCACTGGTGTGGCTTGCCAGTACTGTAACTACAAAGATTAATTGATGCCAGATAATCGATCCCTACTTCATTTAGCCTTTCAAAAGAAATATCGCTCTCGTAGTCCTGAAAGACCACCTTTTAGAGTAAAGCAGCCTACTGTAATTGGGTTTTAAATGCTCAGAAACTTAGAACGGCTATATTTTAAATATATGTAAATTGAAAACCATTATTTAACGATTGAATCTATGC